GATCTGTGAAACGGTGATAGCTGAATAGATCTTGGTGAATACAATGGCAGCAAAGTACGAGATTGAGAGGTTTAATGGGAGCAATTTCTCACTGTGGAAAATGAGAATCAAGGCAATCTTAAGGAAAGACAATTGCTTGACAGCAATTAGGGATCGGCCCGTGGAGATCACTGATGATGCAAAATGGAATGAGATGGATGGCAATGTTATTGCTAACATACATTTAGCATTAGCCGATGAAGTATTATCAAGTGTGGCGGAGAAGAAAACAGTTAAAGAGATATGGGAGACTCTAACAAAGCTATACGAGTCCAAGTCTTTGCACAATAAGATTTTCTTAAAGCGGAGACTTTATACCCTTCGAATGGTAGAAACCACATCGGTGACTGACCATATCAACACAATAAGAACTCTATTTTCACAACTCACTACATTGGGTCAGCAAATAGAGGAAAATGAACGTGCAGAGCTTCTACTTCAAAGTCTTCCTGATTCGTATGATCAGCTCATTATCAACTTAACAAATAATATCCTCTCAGATTATCTAGTCTTCGATGATGTTGCAACCGCTATCTTGGAAGAAGAAAATAGGCGCAAAAACAAAGGAGACAGAAATAGTTCAAACCAAGCAGAGGCGTTGTTGGTGTCAAGAGGAAGATCAACGGAGCGTGGCTCTAGTGGGAGTCAAAGGCAAGGGAGGTCCAAATCAAGAAGTAAGAAGACTGTGAAATGCTACAACTATGGCAAAAAGGGGCACTTCAAAAAGGATTGTTGGTTTAAAAAGGGTATAGAGAATACTGTAGAGTCATCAAAATCTCAAGGATGTGTTGCGAGCACCTCAGAAGATGGAGAGATTTTATATAGTGAAGCAATGACAATCTTTACAGATAAAGAAAAGCTCACTGAGGTCTGGCTAATGGATTCAAGAGCAACATGGCATATGACTCCTAATCGAGATTGGTTCCATACATATAAACCTATCTTTGGAGGCAAAGTGTTCATGGGTGATAATCATGCTTTGGAGATTGTTGGCATTGGCACCATCAAATTGAAGATGTATGATGGCTTAATTCGTACTATTTCAGAAGTGCGACATGTGAAAGACTTAAAGAAGAATCTTTTGTCCATAGGACAATTTGATAGTCTTGGCTGTAAAATCCGAACAGACAATGGAATTATGAAAATCATCAAAGGAGCGCTGGTGGTTTTAAAGGCAAGAAAGACAGTTGCAAATGTATTTGCATTAATGGGAGAAACACATCATGAGGCAGAAGCGTCAATCGCATCAGCTAGTCCTGTAGAAGAGAAGACGATGATGTGGCATCAAAAACTAGGTCACATGTTAGAAAAAGGTTTAAAGGTTCTCTCTGATCAGAAGTTACTCCCTGGGCTTACAAAGGTTACTTTACCTTTTTGTGAGCACTATGTTATAAGTAAACAACACAGGTTGAAGTTTGGCACATCAACAACTAAGAGCAAATGCATCTTAGACCTGATTCACTCTGATGTTTGGCAAACACCGATTGTATCTTTGGGAGGAGCAAGATACTTTGTATCATTCATAGATGACTTCTCCAGGAGATGTTGGGTGTATCCAATTAGAAGGAAGGCAGATGTGCTTACAGTCTTTAAAACTTTCAAAGCGCGGGTGGAACTTGAATCTGAAAAGAAGATCAAGTGTTTGAGGGCTGACAATGGAGGAGAATATACCAGTGATGAATTTGATAACTTCTGTCAACATGAAGGTATCAAAAGGCAGTTCACAACAGCATACACTCCACAATAAAATGGAGTGGTAGAGCGGATGAACAGAACTCTATTAAAAAGAACAAGAGCAATGTTGAAGGCTGCAGGTCTAGGAAAGTCATTCTGGGCAGAAGCAGTCAATACCGCCTGTTATGTGATAAATCGATCTCCATCAACCGCAATTGAGTTGAAGACACCAATGGAGATGTGGACTGGAAAACCAGCTAATTATTCTCGATTGCATATATTTGGAAGTCCTGTGTACGTGATGTACAATACACAAGAAGTTAGCAAGCTAGATTCAAAATCCAGAAAATGTGTATTCTTGGGATATGCTGATGGAGTGAAGGGGTATCGCTTGTGGGATCCCACTGCGCACAAGGTAGTTATCAGCAGAGATGTCATATTTGCAGAAGGTAAAATGCAAATGGAAGAACATAATAGCATTCTAAAGGAGACTACAACAGTCCATGTGGAAAATACTCAGAATCATGTTTCTTCTGAAGCTGTACTAGAGCATGAAGAGCAAGAACAAATAGAGTCTGAAACTCCTGAAGTTCGGCGGTCGACTCGTGAAAGAAGACCACCGGCTTGGCACTTAGAATATGTTACTGAAAGTAACATTGCATACTGTCTTCTAACAGAGGATGGAGAGCCATCAACTTTCCATGAGGCTATCAAAAGCACAGATGTATCTATGTGGATGACAGCAATGCAAGAGGAGATTGAAGCTCTGCACAAGAATAATACTTGGGATCTTGTTCCGCTACCACAAGGAAGAAAGGTCATTGGCAACAAATGGGTTTATAAGATAAAACGTGATGGCAATGATCAAGTGGAGTGGTATCGTGCAAGATTAGTGGTGAAAGGATATGCTCAGAAAGAAGGAATAGACTTCAATGAGATATTTTCTCCAGTGGTACGACTTACGATAATCAGAGTAGTCTTGGCAATGTGTGCTATATTTGATCTTCACTTGGAGCAGTTAGACGTGAAAACTGCATTTCTTCATGGAAAACTTGAAGAAGAAATTTATATGCTCCAACCAGAGGGTTTTGCTGAAACAGGCAAGGAGAACTTGGTTTGCAGGTTGAACAAATCTCTATACGGTCTCAAACAGGCGCCGAGGTGTTGGTATAAGAGATTTGAATCCTTCATAATTAGTCTTGGGTACAACAGACTCAGTTCAGACCATTGTACGTATTACAAAAGGTTTGAAGAAGATTTCATCATTTTGTTGTTGTACGTGGATGACATGTTGGTGATAGGCCCCAACAAAGATCGAGTCCAAGAATTGAAGGCACAGTTGGCTAGGGAGTTTGATATGAAGGACTTGGGACCAGCAAACAAGATTCTAGGGATGCAAATTTATCGAGACAGAAGTAAGAGGAAAATTTGGCTTTCTTAGAAGAATTATTTGAAGAAAATCTTGCGACGCTTCAACATGCAAGATTGTAAGCCAATTTCCACCCCACTTCCTATTAACTTCAAATTATCCTCAAGTATGTCTCCTATCAATGAAGCAGAGAGGATGGAGATATCTCGAGTACCGTATGCATCAGCAGTGGGAAGTTTAATGTTTGCCATGATATGTACAAGACCAGATATTGCACAAGCAATGGGAGCAGTTAGTCGGTACATGGCAAATCCTGGTAGAGAGCATTGGAATACTATTAAGAGGATCTTGAGATATATCAAGGGTACCTCAGATGCTGCATTATGTTATGGAGGATCAGAATTTACTATCAGAGGTTATGTTGATTCAGATTTTGCTGGTGACCTTGAGAAAAGGAAGTCCACTACAGGCTATGTGTTCATAATTGCAGGAGGAGCTGTGAGCTGGGTTTCTAAACTTCAGACTGTTGTAGCATTGTCCACAACAGAAGCTGAGTACATGGCAGCTACACAAGCTTGTAAAGAAGCAATATGGATGAAGAAACTTATGGAGGAACTCGGGCACAAACAAGAGAATATTCTTTTGTATTGTGATAGTCAAAGTGCCTTGCATATTGCAAGGAATCCAGCATTTCATTCAAGAACAAAACACATAGATGTTCAGTATCACTTTGTTCGTGAAGTGGTGGAAGATGGAAGTGTGGATTTTTAGAAGATTCACACAAAGGAAAACCCAGCAGATGCTTTGACGAAACCGGTTAACACTGATAAGTATATATGGTGTAGATCCTCTTACGGCCTAGCAGAAACGTAAGCAGCATGAAGATGGCAAGTATAGAAAGGATAGAAGAAGCACAAATGATCAAGTGTGAAGACTTGATTTAATCATCAAAGTCTTCAAGTGGGAGAATGTGAAGCTAACCACCTTAGTAAAAAATGGTGGGAGAAGGTGTAGCCATCTTAGTCAAAAATTGTATGCACCAAATTGGTGCTATTTGCCTAACCCCTTGTCTTTTGCATGGATGCTTGCCTATAAATAGGTAATGCATCCAAGCATTATATACACACCATAAGAGAGAAAGAAGAGAGGGTGAGAAGAGAGTAATCCCACAAAATTATGAGGTATTTGTGAGATAGTAAGTGAGGTGTTTTCTCCTAATAATAGAGAGATTTTTGTTGTTCTCCTATTATTAGAGAGAAATTGTATTCCCACATTACTTAGTAAAATTCTTCTATACTTGCCCATGAACGTAGCCAAATTGGGTGAACCACGTAAATTCTTGTGTGTCATTTCTCATTTTATCTTCTCCCTTACCTTTTATCTTGTCGGGTTTGCATACCAGCATCCTAATACTTCTTCATTACAAAAGTGCAGAGCCAGCCACATATAATAATGGGAGCTGTAGAATCTTCATATCATTTGTTTCTTGTATACTCTGTGCTTATCAATTCTGTATAAAATTATGCAATTGGTTTACCCATCATGAAGAAGAAGAAAAGAAGTCAAAATCTATTGATCCCGCTTATTTTTTCATGACAGAACAAAGTTATAAATAGATAGCAAAGATAAAAAACAGTCTAGTTCATGACTGGGTGTTTGTTTGGATTGGTGAGTTCAAGACGAACTTCATCTTTCTTGTGGCGCTGCAATGAACTTTATCTTCATGAAACAAGAAATACCAGATGAGAAGAAAGAAGAAAAGGGGAGGAAATAAAGAAGAAGATAAAACGCTGATGTTTCTTGAGTTCATGACATGTTTTGTACGTGCAGTCTAGTGCTGCGCTGCAGCCTTGAGAACACCATAATAATCTAGAGCTTTTCAGCATTGAAGAACTCCTACACCTCAGATTTGTTTCCATTATTTATTTATAGATAAGTTGACCATCTCCTTGTCAGCATTTGAAGCAGGTCCCAGTATGGCTTTCGATTCTCCAGTTTCCTGTTAAGAGACAATCAAGAAAGCTATATAATATACTACAATGTTTAATCTGGGCTCAATTATAGGATAAATTTGATGTTAAGAAATGCACCTTTTCATCAGTCTCATATATTTCCACTAAGTCACCCACTGGGCTAAGCATATTCCATCCCATGATATTATTTGGATTTGAACCATCAGCATTTGAAGCTGATGGAGAGTTGCCAGAATTAGGCATCAGTGTGATATCAGACATCTCAGCAGCGGTAACTTCAGAAACAACATCAACCACATTTAAATCCATTCCACAAACTATCCATGAATTCCTACAGCTCTTCTGCAAGGCAGATAGTATTTTATTCACCAAAAGTTGTTTTTCTGAAATTTCTCTCATTTTTGAAGGGAGAAAAAATTCTAATATGTAATCCATACTGCTCCTGCAAGTGCTTCTTAGCTTGATTGCAACAGCACCATGAAGGCCAAACTCCCATGCTTCATAAACAAATGGATAATCAGCTGGATCGAGTTCAGAGACATCGGGGACAAAATAAATATCTGATAGAAGGGCTTTTCCAGCAACACCTTGCCCTTCCTCAATATCAAATTCTGCACATATCTCAACAAATTCTGTTGCTCCTAAATCATTGACGTAGCAAGCAGTATCCTCAACGCGTAGAACGTTTTTTCCCTCATAATTTTTGGCAGGATCTCTGCCATCCGATATCCATGTTAGTGCCAGGGGCAGCTTATATACATGACACACATATTCCAATATGTCAAATATCTCAGCTGAAGCAGCAATCTCATTCATTGAGAGGCACTGCAAAAACCGTAGAAGCAATCTCATTCATCGAGGAGAAGTGTAAGAATTATAGCAGGATATAACAGAATTTAGAAAAATTAATAGACAATCAACTCTTTATGTATGAAAGAAATATAAAGATATGAGTATCCTATTAATTTCCCCAGACATCTATATAATAAACAAATAGCAATCTGATAAAAAGCATGCAGGCAAATACAGGACGGGGTACCTCTGAAGACCACACATTTCCTTCTCTCATGATAGTAGGATCACCTTCTTCCTCGCATTCATTTTGTATTATGCTAAGATCATTGAACTCTAGACCTAACAACATGGATTCTGGACTGCCCACGTTCTCCTTGTTGTCCGATCCTGCATGATTAGCATTTCACCATGTTATAGACTAATATATAATCATTCTTGAACTCTTATTTAATAGTTTAAGCTTTTTGAATTGAGATATTTCAGAGTTTTAATGGTCAAATAATTACAAGTAAACCTCACATTCCCTCTAATTAAATTAATAAATTATGCAAAATGCAAGGACAGAGCTTTTCAGGATTGTGAGAGAAGACCTTACTCAATACACATGAATGAATACTTGCTAACCTCAAATATATTTTTCCAACTGACATTTATATATAATGGCGTTCATTTGTAGTGAAAAATAAACAATAATAATAATCATCATAGTAAAGAAATATGGGTGTTTGATATCATTTTTTCGAAACATAAAAAAAATGTTTCGTATTTCTTGTTTTAAGAGAAACAAAGAGTGGAATGAGATTGTTCAGTACCTCCATCAGACTGAGCAAGTTCGGGTTTCCATGCTGATGTGATAACTAGAGGGACAGTGTATCGACGTAGGAAGGGACATCCATTCTTGCCTTCTATAGTGTATTGAGTCAAGTCACTGAAAAGAAAACCCCTTATATGATTGAACCACTGGCGAACAGGATGAAATCCTGAACGACGCAGCTGATCTCGCCACCAAGCCTGTGTTTCATGCCTCTCAGCATGCTGGATGTCCTCTCGCGCCACCACATTAGTGATCTGCCGCCTAAAATCCATCTCCCACGATATCTTGTTTTCGAGATCATATTCGGTCGTATCTTTCTCTATGGAGTCAAATACGCTGGAGTAGTATGGGAATGATTGGGCAAGTCGGTCCAAGATATCAGGACTGTTGTGGTTGGCTTCCTGTTCCACAATTACCATGATTTCTGGTCTGAGTTCCTTCAGTTTTGACAAAACCTTCTCAAGTGCACCGGGCACTAAGATCAATTTGTGAAGTTCAAGCTCCCATTTCACAACTATCGCCTCGTCCTCGCTTGTTCTTTTGAGATTGAGAGTGGATTCAACAATACCTGCTGCAGTATTGGCAAATACATGGTCTGATTTGAAATCTGTCAGGCGAAGTGTTTTAGCCTCTGCAGCTAGTACGCGATCCATTTCTTGGAGGTACTCTTCGTTGTTTGACAGTTTAGGTCTGATATTTGTTACTTGGAAAGACAGTCCACTGCCTACCTGCCTCACTAGATCACGCATCAAATCTCGAATCATCATGTTGAATTCCATATTAGAGAAGTTGATAACATGGACTTTCTTTTTTCCAACAACGGCATCAAGGATGGAATGGTGGCTGCTTTTTTCTGCAAACCATACGAAAGGAAGAAATCGCCAGCACCTGATGTAATATGAATCCGTGGAAGGTGCTAATGGAGTAGGATTTCGAGGATACAGTTTGTAGAGTCTCCGAATGAGCGCTTCAGCATAGAATCTGACAAGTTTTCTTGTTGCTGTGCTGGTATTCGCATCATTTAGGAGTTTAATCTCCTTGAAAACTGTCTCTGCAAGATTCAGATCACCATCTTCAATCGCCTTAGCAGAGTCTAACAGTTTGTTGAGAAGAAGAGTGGCCATTTTGAGCAACAAAGCAATAAAAAATGACTCTCAATGAACGGAATGACTTTACTCTAGTAGATGGGCGATGATCATGGGAAACAAGTGACCATTTTAAGCAGAGAAGATCAGCCCAAAAATGTCATTCTAGATATCAATTTCCATTTTCTATTCAGCTGTTGCTTCCTTGAAATTTCCATATCAATTTGTTATTTGGATTCGATAGCTTACTTTAAGAAGCTAACAGAAGAAGATCAAGACCTAAAACGTATTAGGTAGTTAATCATTTTCTTAAAGTCTTAAATAAGAAAGAAAGAAAAAAACAAATGGTTAGGTGAAGGCATGTTACGTTATCTTAGCATGTGCAGCAAATAATAAAACAGAAGGATTCTGACTGGTTCTACAAAATTATATGGGGAAATCGCACTGATTCTTCTTCATGGAAAATTTTTTTCAGTACCTTGCTTGAGTCTCTTTTCATTGACTCAGTCAGCCGGGGCTTCTTCCAATTCAAGGCCGCAAGAATGAAAATATGATCCTGTCAGTTGACGAGACACTAAACTCAAAATTAATCAAACTGAAAGATTTTTCTAAATTATTAAATAATTTTTGTTACAATATTTTTTTTATAAATCAGATTTTAGAAACAACCTGTAATCCAAAAAATAAAAAACTAGAAGAAAAGGTGAAAACACTATTCACCTAAACCCATTGCATTTTAGACGGAACAATGTTTTTACCTTCAATAATAGGCTAATGGTTGATGATAGAATCATCTTTGCAGTGGGAATATCTTGGTATTTTTTTTTAATTGATTAGAGACAGAATGAGTATTTTATTTTCTGATAATATAATAAATTTACATCATTATCCTTAAAAGAAATAAAACTACGATTGTTGATTTTTTCCTTATCTACTTTAAACATAAACATGGATTCAAAAGGTGTTGTTGCTTCCAAAAAGAAGTTTAGTTTCCGATCTAAGATTGGAAGAAGCAGCACGGGGCAAGGGTCATTTAAACTAGGCATGAACTAAAGGGGGTGGCATCCTGACGTCCACCTTTGACAGAGGAAGAGTAACTCTCTTTGCAGAAATCCTTCTCCTGCCATTACTAAAGGCTACCTCAAACCCTCGTGGATGACGTTCCTAGAATTTTATATGCGGAGGACATCGAGTTTGTTTCTCGTCTATAGCTAAGAGATTACATAGCTTAGATGTTTGATCAAGCTAGGCGTGTCAGCCAAAAGACCTTGGACTTACAACCCCTCCCCCTTTTACATGTACATGATGAGGTATTCCTTTCCTCTTCACGAATTCACGAGAGAAATGTTTAGATATTACCAGCTAGGTCTAGACTAGTTATATCCTAATAAACAAATCACTTCGTCCATCTTTAATAAGTTTTATCTTTAATAAGTTTTATAGGCTCATCAGAATCAAGCTTATAATTAATACTTTTAGAAATTATTATTATTTAGTTGCTCGTATTAATAATAACAATAATATATATTGGTTTTTCACCTTCACCAATAAACCAATAAAAACCATGAAGGGAACTCTATGTGAAAAGCCTATGCATGTTAAGAAATGATGGGAAAAATGATTTACAGTAAAATATGGTAAGTCAGTAAATCCTAGAGGTGCAAAGTAGTGAATCTAGGATTGTTTTCATAACTCAAATGTTCTATACATGTTAAGAAATGGCGGAGAAAATAGTTGACAATAAGATATGGTAAGTCAATAAATCCTAGAGGTGGAAAGTAGTGAATCTAGGGTTGTTTTCATAACTCAAATGTTCTTTCCCATGATGTAAATAGCAATCCTTGTCTAAGCTCGAATGAAAAGAAAATATGAGTTGCGCTAGCCTCAACGTGAGTTAAGCATGATGTTAATAGGATAGTCAAAGATATTATTAGGTCATATTATAAAATATGCAACTTCCTTATTCTTTGTTATATTTGTAGCTAAGTTTATGATTGAATTTTTTTTTTTACGACTAATAGTTAAAGAAAAAACTTCAGCAGAGTCTATAGAAAAGGGTTTATAAATAAAGTTTTCATTTTTATCACGAGTAGAGATAAAGGTGAAAAAAATCTTTATAACCCATCATTTTTACTATTTAATTTGGGAGTACTAAGAAATTATGTTTTTCTAATACTATTAAAACCTCCAGGTGTCAAAAATAAAAAATACCTCTCACATATCATAATAACATGGCTCAAAATGAAGCATGACAAGATTATCAAAGCTACTTGTAATTGAGTTTAGTGTTTAACTGAGCTAAAAAATAATAGATTTGACAATTCATCAGACTGATATATATGTGGGCAATGCACTTGGCTGATTTTAAGGATATTAGATCTAGCAACTTATCAGATTCGTATATATTTAAACTCAGTGCTTTGTTGAACTCGTAATTACTAGATCTAATAACTCATTAAACCTATATAGATTTGAATTCAATATTTAACTAAGTCGAATAATATTAAGTTATTACCTTGTTTCTAATTCATTTAAATAAGAATCTAAGTAAAAATAAAAACTTAACTAATCAAGAGATTTGAGATTTTCAATCAGCTCCCTTAATAACAGATGGGAAGATCAAGGATTGAAACGGTGATGAAAAACATCGTGGCTACAGGAAAACTGCAAGCTTATATTATTATTATTGTTATTATTATTATTACTTTTTATTTGTTGAGTAATAGATAGACACTTGGAAGAACATGGTAAGGCTTTCACCTTGCCTTCCATTTCAATATGTTGCTTAAGTCTCTTTTTATTGACTTAGTCAATTGGGGGCTTCTTCAGCTATAAGAATGAAAATATGATCATGTGAGTTTATTAAATAATTTTACTTAATAATTTAATTATAATTATTAAACTTAAAATTAATCAAATCTAAAGATTTTTCAATTTATTAAATAATTTAGTTATAATTTTTTTAAAAAAATCATATTTTAGAAATGAAAAACTACTCGCAAACAAAAAAAATAAAAAATAAAAAACCTGAAAAAAAGAGATGAAAATATTGTTCACTTATAAACATTGAAAATAGTGTTTTCACTTTCTTGCTTTTTGAAAAAGAAAAACTGATAAGCTGATGGTTGAAAATAAGTTCATCTTTGCAATGAAAACATTTTGATATTTTTAAATTAACTAGGGATAAAACAGGTATTTCATATTCTAATAGTATAATAAATTTACCTCACTACTCTTGGAAAATAAATTATTAAGCTCACATTAAGGATTACTTTTGTATTTTTATATAAAACATGCATAAAAATAATTTGTTTACCCTTAAAATAAAAAACAATTTTAACTAACTTTCGGTAGCCTTTTTGTATTTTCCAATAAAAAGACCCAGATGTCATTGAAGTTTAAATTTTTAACCTTCTGATCAAGGGATAATTTTGTCATTGCGTAGCTTAATGCGGATAACGAGATAGTGTATTCTAATTCAAATTGGATTTATTTATTTAACAAATATAAAACCAAACTTTTGAATTGATTTGGCTGATAGAAGATTTGATTATATCGAGTTTTTTTTTTAATCCAAATGGAATACCATATGCTCACCCCTGGGATGAATTCTAAATATTTTTTTTTTTTCAAGAACTTTTTGAGATAGGAGGACCAGTAACAAAATAAAAGACAACAACAAATACAAAAATAAGTGAAAAAACAACTATAGTTGATTTCCTACTCTGAAATTTGAATGCAAGTGATAGTATTTATTTATTTTATTAATATTAATAATTGTATTAGTATATCTCAACTAATTTTATAGATCTTCAAATTAATAATTATATAAACTTTTAATGATCTAAAAAAACTTAAAATTTTAATTATTAAAAAATAAATTTAAAA